GAGAGAGAGAGAGAGAGAGAGAGAGAGAGAGAGAAGGACATGAGATCACCGACAGAACATAGCCAGGAAGTAAATACACGGAAAAAGGTACCAGGACTTTTATTCCGATGCAACAAGGCAGGTCAAGTGGGTACTTACTGCTAGTGTCCTGCTTGGGCGCTGTGCTTGGTGAAGCGGCCCAGTTGACCTTCATCTCCTGTGGGAAGAGAAACAAATACAGGACATGAGAAAACTGGCATTGTGCTGAATGAGTGAAATTACATATAAGATATTTGGGAAAAAAGCAACAACATAAAAAACAACAAATAAACTGCATACATTAGACAAAATAGTATACCAGACAGCACCGAATAACACCCCCGGTGCAGATCAGGTAAACAAATAAGAAAAAATATGGCGAAGGAGTATACCGTGCACGAGCGTCCAAAGCCCACTGGCTTCGGTTGGAACGTGGCGTGTGTGTGTGTGTGTGTGTGTGTGTGTGTGTGTGTGTGTGTGTGTGTGTGTGTGTGTGTGTGTGTGTGTGTGTGTGTGTGTGTTGTGTGTAAGTAAGCCTGCCTACAATTTATTTAGCGCCCCTTACAACGATGTACGTGCCTTTGAACGTATGATGTGAAGTTTTTGCAAAATTTTGACTCAAGTGCACAAATTAACGATCGCTAATGAAAACAATGTTCAAAAGGCTATATGTATAACATTAATCAAGAATAACGGTACTGAAAACCACATAGTGCAGCTATGCAAAAAGTAGCACGAAGTGACCCTAATAATAGAAAGTGAACGGTAAAAAAACAAAAACGGTCAAACTATCGCAGCTCTCCACCCCACGTCCCCATTACAAGGGACACTCCAGCAGGAGGTTTTCATGGGCGCTCCATCATATCGCACAATGCAACACTGACAAGCTAACGACGGGAGTGTTTTCAAAACACTTTAGCAGTTCCGTTGAGCATTGTGTTTGCCTTAATCTCACATGCCTCTCTCTCTCTCTTTCTCTACCCTTCTCTCTCCTTGTCTCTCTCTCTCTCTCTTTCTCTACCCTTCTCTCTCCTTGTCTCTCTCTCTCTCTACCCTTCTCTCTCCTTGTCTCTCTCTCTTTCTCTACCCTTCTCTCTCCTTGTCTCTCTCTCTCT